CATTTTCTTGGCCACTGCTGCCTTTCCTTCGGGGCCCTCGGGGCTGCACTCAGGCATGGGGCCAGCCGTGCTCCTCGGCAGCACCGTTCTGGAACAATGCCATCCCACGGGCAGAAGGGATCGGAGAGCGTGCCGGGCTCTCTTTGAACGTGCCGGGGCAAAACGCTTGCTCAAACCTGCCACTGGAACCGCTGGGGAGGCAGGCCCCCCAGCCCACGTTAGGCAGTGGGGTGCTTCGTGGCATGCCAGGCCAAGCCCCGCTGCTTTCTGTAAGACGTCCTGTGTTACGACACCTGCGGGGAGCAGAGCCACCGCCATTCTCTTGTTAAGCAACCCGAGGCGGTGCATAAAAGGGTTAAAAAAGAGGACATTTGAAATGCCTGCAACATAGAGGACCAGGCCCTGCTGGCAGAGAGCAGAGCTGGGGCCGCGTGGTGCTTGGGAGGGGGGAGGGGTGGGGTGGGGGACAGGCATAGCACTAGGGAAGGCAGGGCTCTGGGCCCCTGAGAACCCTTGCTTGTGAGGAGGTGGGATGGGGCCCAGCGGGAAGAGCGCTCTGCCTCCCCTGATGCCTCTGGGATTGGCTGAATGTGGCCAGAGGCCGAAGGTTGACTGCTCTGCCGCTCAGTCTTCTGCCTGGCACAGGGGGCTGAACCCAAACCCTCCACAGCCAAGCCTGCTGCTCCAGGTTGGAACTGGCAGCACAACCCCAAGGCCTGTTTCAAGAAGGTCGAGTCCCGCTGTCCTTCGGTCCTTCTGGGTTCCCGTGGGCCAGGGAACACTGGCAGATCTTCACTGCGCAGCAGCCCCCTCCCCGGCTAAGCCGCTGTAGAGGGCATCGCTTTGGCACTGCAGCTCCTGGCAGTGCTGGAGTCTTTCCAAAGCCCCCGTTCTCCACCCTTGGAGGACCAATGGAACAAGTTGGGTGTCCCCACGGGGAAGGGGCTTTGCTTCGGGGCCGGCCTTGGGACTCCGAGTTGGAAGGGCCCCCAGTGAAGGTTTCTAGGCCCGGTAAAGAAGCAGTAAGGGTCACTTTCAAGGCCGGCGCAGCTGATCATTTCCACCCTCTGCAAATGAACCCGGGTCACGCTGAAAAGCCAGTCCAGACGATCTTTGCACCCCGCCCCTGGCCCTGCTCACACAACAGCCTGGCACGGGTAAGCGTGCCCCACAAACCCCTCAACCCAGCCAGGCCTCCCATCCAGCGAACTGCCAGGGAGTCAGACTTCACTCCTGGCAGGAAGCGGGGAGGCTCTGTTGTGCCCCTGCTTCCCTTGCTGCCTCTTCCCTTGTCCCCCCTCCCCACTGAACCAGCACCTCAGGACCTGCTCCAAGTGTGGGTCTTCGTCAGCCTGGACCTCGGGGGAAGGCAGACCCGATGCAAAGGCTACTTGTGGCAACAAGGAGGGGCAGAAGTCCTCTTGCCCTGGTCTGAGTTAGCAGGCTTCCCCCCCCCCCCCACTGAACCAGCACCTCAGGACCTGCTCCAAGTGTGGGTCTTCGTCAGCCTGGACCTCTGGGGAAGGCAGACCCGATGCAAAGGCTACTTGTGGCAACAAGGAGGGGCAGAAGTCCCCTTGGCCTGGGCTGGGTTGGGAGGCTTCCCCCCCCCCCCATTTCTGAA